GTCCCCCTAATCCTAGCTCCCATGGTTCAGCTCGGGCAGGTGGTGAATTCGCTTGGCTTTTTCCTGCTGTACGTGCCGGTCCTCTCCAATGCTTGGGCTCCGACAGCATGTGCCTCGTTTTTTGTGTGGCCTTCCACAGGCTTGCAGCTCCTCAACGACTTTTTGTAGAATCTTTGGGGTGAGGATTGTGACTGTTGTTCTGTTTTTTAGGCTTCAGTGTGCATGGTTTGGAAGGGCTTGGGTGACATGCACCACGACATCAGTTCCAGCAAGGCTACCCGGCAAGTCTTTTTTTCATCAGTGCGCTTTTGCACGCGAAGTTTCCCCTGCAATGTCCTCCTCATAATGGACCACGCCCTCAAATAAAAGACTAAGAACTCGTCATTGCCTTCAGGGAGCCTGGATACCGATCAACCTCTATTTTGCTGAGCATGTTTGTCTCTCGCTCCGATACATATCTATCCATATATATATATATACATATATATATATATATATGGATATGTATACATTGTATACATACATATCTACAGATACACATATACGTATGTACATGTTGTATATGTTTTAGTATACGTATATATACTTCAAAGTTAAATTATACTATATACACATAAATATGTAGCTCTCTATACCAATCAACGATGCATCAACAACTCAAACACCACCACACCGAAACCCTAAACCCTAAACCCTAAACCCTAAACTCCGAAAACCTTCGGAGCTTGGGTATTCAGCGTAGAGCAAGCCATGCCTTCGGTTCGGTGTTTTGGGTTCTTAAGATCGTTCGGGTTTGTGGGGGTGGGGGGGGGGGGCTTGGGAGTTTCAGGTGTAGGGTTTAGGGTTTAGGGTTTAGGGGTTTAGGGCCTAAGTTTAGGGTTTAGGGTTTCGGGTTTAGGGGTTTAGGGTTTAGACGTGTAGAAGCAGTTTCTGGAATACCCGGCCGGTCTGAGCCTGGGCTTTTAGGGTTTAGGGTTTAGGGTTTAGGGTTTAGGGTTTAGGGGTTTAGGGGTTTAGGGGTTTAGGGTTTAGGAGGATCTCTTGGGCCGTGCAGGTTGTTTATGGGTTGCTGATTGGGTCTGTTCAAAGCTTCTCAGCCTTTTCTGGGGAGTTCCAGGCAACAGCGGCCCTCTTGCTAGGTAGACAGTCGTTTAGAAAGCATCCTAGGCCCGTCTAAGTTTCAATTCCTGGACTTTGCGCCCGTGTTGGGATTCTTGCCGGAGAAAGGGATGTCTTCCAGCCCTAAACCCTAAACCCTAAATCCTAAGTGAATCAAGCTCACATCCGGATGGAGTGGCCGGGAGAGTGCTTGACGATACAGTGCATGGGGATTTACGACATAGTGCTTCAAACCCAAAGCATCCAACAATTCTTGAAATCGACGTCCGCGAAGAGGTATGGCATTCTACTCAATCTGCGCGGTCGCCCGCCTTTTTCATATCCGCGCCGTGCCTTTGCTCGTTAGATGGTGCAAAGTTTCGGCGGGTTGGTTTTTGGGACTTGAGCCATTTAGGGTTTAGGGTTTAGGGTCTAGTTAGGCATTGTGGGGAAGCTGAGGATGTGAGTTGCTGCTTACGAGGTTCAGGGGTCGCTGGCCGGAGGCGAGTTGCCATTCTTGTGATCAACAAACATTAGCATTGCCGCCGCGTTCACCCGCTGGCGTCAACAAAGTTTAATCCTAGACTAGGTATAAGTATAACTCTGTCATTCGAATCGCTATTGCTAGCGAGTTTGATTTAAACCCCGCAGTCCGGAATAAATGCTGTCATCCAATGTGTTCTTGATCAGCTGCATGTCAGCATGGTGATGTTGATGGTGCTCATGGTGATGTCTTGTATGGTGGTGATGATCTTCACCGTCTTCCTCACAGTCATCACGGCCATAAGCATGACTATTCAGCTCTTCGTCGGCATTTTCAGCATCTTCATCATGCTATAAGCTATCATCACCATCAGATGCAACCAAGTGACATCAGCACCATCGCCTCTGTAAGTACCACCACCATCACCACAACCATCATCACCGCCACCACCACCATCATTATCATGACCATCACCGTCATCAGCACCACCACCATCATGACCATCATCATCACCACCATGATTATAAGCATCATCGCCTTCTTCGGAACCAACCGGCCAAGCAAAACCTCTGCCAGTGCCACCTGTCCACGACACTATCACTGCCACTACCAAGACCAATACCACGACAACTCACGACAACGGCGATGGCGACACCGACGATCAGGATGACGAGGACGACGACTACTTCTACGCCGGCGACGAAAACGAGGCGACGGCGACGAACAGCGGCAACGACGAACCGTTGATGGCGGCGACGACGAAATCCACGAAGACGGCGACGGCGTCGGCGACGGCGACCACAACAACAACAACAACAACATTAACAACAACAAGAGCAACAGTAACATCACCAGGGCGAGCACTCTTCTAGGTGGGGACAGTCTGCTGCCACAAGGCTTTTGCCAGGGCGACGACAATTCTTGAAACAGTGGAGGCCACCACAACGATGGCACCGAAAGTGCTACGACTGCGAAGAGAAACCGTAACTTGTTGTGCCACAAGGACACAGTCATCACAATTCGGTAATCCCTGGGATTCTCTTCGTGAGACATGTGGGTAATTCTCAAAACAGGGTCCCTTTTTGGGTCTTTGTTTATAAGGGTGCCGCACTATATTTGGGACCTAAAACGGGACCCTACTTTAGAGAACTACCCATGTGCCGAAGCAGTCGTGTCTTCAACGGCTCCAGCTAAGATCCAGAGCCTTTGGCCTGGGCCCCCGGAAGCTTCTTGAGGGCTGTAGGGTTTTAGAGTTTTAGGGGTTTTAGGGTTTTAGGGTTTTAGGGTTTCAGGGTTTAGGGCTTTTAGCGTTTAGGGTTGAGGGTTTAGGAGTTTAGGGCTTTTGGGGTTTAGGAGTTTAGGTTTTTAGGGTTTAGGGTTTAAGGGTTTAGGGTTTAAGGGTTTAGGGGTTTAGGGGACATTCGGGATTTTAGAGTTTCATCTTGGACCCTCATCCCTAAACCCAGAGACCCCGACCCCAACTGAGCCCAAGATCAGGCCGAACCCATGACGAGCGTGGTTTTGCAAGGCGCCCCCGCGGCCTGAGGGGAATGGTGAGTCAGGATTCCGGATTTCACGGGTTTAGGGTTTAGGGAGTTTAGGGAATTTAGGGTTTAGGGAGTTTAAGGAGTTCAGGGTTTATGTTTGCAGAGTTTTTTTGGGGGCCGCGTCGTTCAGGGTGTAGGGCTTGATTAGAAGCTCTGTGGTTTTCTAGCGACTTCTCGGGTAAGAGGTTTTTGGGGCTTATGCTTCTTAAAGTTGCTCAAGCTCCTGCTGGAGAGCGAAACCCTAGACCCCAACAGCCCTAAGCCCTAAACCCTAAACCCTAAACCCTAAACCCTAAACCCTAAACCCTAAACCCTAAACCCTAAACCCTAAACCCTAAACCCCAACCCGACACCCCAAAGGCCCAGACGTCTTATCACCTTTGCCCCTGAAGCCTCGAGGTCGTAAAGCCTGAATTCGAAGACCCTCAGCCCTTATACTCCGGACCCTAAGACCCCTCTATGCATTCAGCTTCGAACTGCATCCTCGTAGGGGTTTAGGGTTTAGGGTTTATTTAGGATTTAGGGTTTATTTAGGATTTAGGGTTTAGGGTTTAGGGTTTATTTAGGGTTTAGGGTTTAGGGATTTTGAGTCCGGCTCAAACGTTTCATATCGAGGTCGCATGACGCCGTTCGCACGAGGGTCCTTGCAGATCAAGATCTGACATCTCTGCCCCTTACACCCAGAGACTCCAATACCCCTTAATTAAGGAATATACCTCAAATCATATTAGGGATCCTACTATACTTTGAAGTATATTCCTGAATAAAGGGATATTGGAGTCTCTGGGCATAAGGGATCCTGGGATGTGAATGCACAGACCGCGAGGAGGGCCATGAACCCCGAAACCCCTTGGAGATGAGATACAGTGCACTTCATAGTAATCGTTACCTCAAGGGTCCAAAAGGACCCAATACTCATGTACTTGGGTTACGGATAGTAGTTTTGTAGGTTAGTATTCAGAAGAGTATATGATTATTAGGTACTTGGACCCTTAGGGTTATAGAGCCCTCAGCACTTGCCAAAGTATCGGCCCGCACCGAGAGAGGCTTCCAGTGGCAAGCGATCCTGATGATGGTCCTCACGCAACTTTGCGACTTCTAAGCTTGAGAGCGCAATGCCAATATTCCATAATGGTGGTTGGTCCTTAAAATCAGAATAAGAAGCCCCAATGTCTTCTAAGCCAGAGCCCTCCATAAAGAGGTCTCTTCAGAACTTGAGGCTGGGAGAAAGTTCGGGGAGCCCAGATGGTGATTGAGTGTTGGGTTCTGCAGCATAAGCTAGCTAATATAGAAGCCTAAATAAGTACCTACATTATTTTTTGGGGTTCCTTAGTATAATTCTAGTATAATGCGCCCCCAAACCCTATTCTAGTTATCAAGACCCCTCTATTACGCTCAGCGGTGCTGGGATCTGGTAAGGCTAGAGCCGGATTCGACTCGAGTTGAGATGCGCCACGGACATGAACCATACCTATAGTCTCCATTGTAGTTCCTTTTGGGGGATACCTTATGGGTTTAGGGTTTAGGGTTTATAAACTCCTCAATATATAATTGGTTAAACCCCAAAAAAGGAAGTACCCTAAACCCTAAACCCTAAACCCTAAACCCTAAACCCTAAAAAGGAAGTACAATGGAGACTACAGGTAAACCCCAAAGGGTAGAGCCTGGCTCCCTGAAAGTGGGCCTTCGGGCCTCCGTTGTAAAGGGGACGGTTAAGGTTTAGGGTTTAGGGTTTAGGGTTTAGGGTTTAGGGTTTAGGGTTTAGGGTTAGGGTTGTCAAAGCAGTTTGCTTCGTTGGTCTTCTGGGCTTCCTTGGCTGGTGAGCAGAACCGTCGCCAACACAACCTCAGAATCATAGCTATCACCTATCCTAACCGCCAGCATCATCATCATCATCAGCATCAGTATCACGTGTTCATCAACTTGCATAAACGTTCATCAATGTCACCAAGGCGGCGCAATTTGCCAAAGCCAGGGTCAGAACGTAGATGCTCAAGTGAAGATGAAAACCGCATCAAGAACATGGCAGGGGCGAGGGGAGGGGCTAAAACCCCAACCAAGACACTCCACATACCCCCAAACCACCCTCGACCCCCGCCTGAACCCTAAGCCCCTTAGACCCTAAACCTAAGCCACCTAAGCCTTAAGCACCCTAAACCCGAAATCCTAAAACCTAAGACGGAAACCCTACAAAAATCGGGGGAGTCTAGGTCTTAAGGCCCGCAACATTAGACAGCGCGACTGCGACCAGGCACGTGGGCCTTCGCATCAGAGCAATTCACTTAGGCTGCTGGGCTCCTGTCATGTTCAAAGGTGTGCGGTTTAAGGTTTAATTTAGGGTTTAGAGACAGGTTTTCGGGGCGTGAATAATCCTGTCCCTGCCACTCCGGCTAGTACAAGCTACGGGTAATAAAGTGCTGGTTTGATGTATCGTTCTGACTCTTATTTGTGTTTTCTGTGGAAAAATGATGTAGCAGTAGGAGCAAGGAGTGGCAACAACTGTGAGAGTATACACTGGTACTCGTCTTTCTGGCTTCCACTGTCTGTTCGGATCCTTTGTTTGAAGTATCACTTGGCTTGCACAAACGCTTCGGTGTAGACTTTTGGGGCTTTTAAAGTACCCTAAACCCTAAACCCTAAACCCCTAAACCCCTAAACCCTAAACCCCTAAACCCCTAAACCCTAAACCCTAAACCCCTTGTGCCGACAGGGTCTTGGACAGCATAGCCGAGAGCCTAAACCCGAAACCAGACCATAGCCGTGACACGAAGCTTCAGCAAACTGTTTGCAGTAATATACGGGCCGTATAATTACCTATATTGTTTTGGGGGTTCCTTGATAGAATGATAGTAGAATAGACCCCAAAGCCTTATTCTAATTATTCAGGCCCCTACATTAGACCCTAAACCCTAAACCCTGGACCCCACAGCCACATTCTAATTATTAAGGCCTAAACCCTAAACCCTAAACCCTAAACCCTAAACCCTAAAGCCTCTACAGTAGGTGAAAGTGGTACTGCTAAAGGGGAAGTCAAAGAGTCTGAACTCGAAGGGTCCTCTGGGTTTAGGGTTTAGGGTCCAGGGGTTCGGGTTTAGGGTTTAGGGTATAGGGTTTGCGGTTTTGGGTTTAGGTTTAGGGCTTTGGATCTAGGATCTAGGATTTAGGGTTTAGGGTCTTGGATTTAGGGATTAGGGCCTGGTGCGCAGAGCGAGCTGATAGTCCCCACCCGCGCAACCGCACATCAAAATTCGTAGTACAACAGCAAAAGATCGCAAACACTCTGAACCCTAAATCCTAAACCCTAAACCCAAAACCCAAAACTCTGAACCCCTATTCATGAACACCAGCTTCGCGCCCGTTTGCGAAAATCCTTAGCAAACCCTTTCTTGAGCCCTTTTTTACAATTCTTATGGAACTTTGAACCCTTGCAGTTCAACCCCTGAACCCTAAACCCTAAACCCTAAACCCCTCCATCATCGAGGCTTAAGGCGCACCCCCTTGACAGCCAGCTGCCTTCAAGATCACCGAAGGCTTTGTGACAACGAGGTCGGGTTTAGCATTTTGGGGTTACCCTAAACCCTAAACCCTAAACCCTAAACCCTAAACCCTAAACCCAAAACCCTAAACCCTAAACCCTAAACCCTAAACCCTAAACGGTTTAGGGGTTTAAATAGGTTATTAGGGTTTAGGGCCTTGCGGATGTTCTGTGGTTTGGGGTTTCCAGGTGTTTGGGGCAGCTCGGGATTCAGCTTGCTGGTCTTAGTTCGCGGCAAGAGGGTATCTAGGCTCTTCTCTAAGGGCTTTAGGAGGGACCCTTAATAGGGACCTACAATGGTTATTGAAGGCAATGGGATTAATAGGTCCCTTTTAGGGGTCCCTCCTAAAGTCCTTAGATCTTCGCTCAAGCCGCGCGGCTTGTGTTTGAGCCCGAAACCCGGAACTTCTCCGGATGTCCCGGCTTGATTAATTTTGACCGTACATCCCAAAAACTCATGTGCCCCAAGGCCCATAAACCCTAAATCCTAAATCCGAAACCCTAAACCTACTCAGTAGACCTCGAACGGCCGACCTGGCCACGCGCCCTTGACTGCCGTCCTTAAGTCACAGAGGCGGAGTTAGCTTGGCAGCTGATTCCGAGGCGCAGGAGAATCACCCTGTTGACGCTAGGCTCAGATCCGATGGGGCGAGTTAGGATTTGCATAGCAATAATCCCTCACGTCCTGCATTTCCTAAATCCCCAAAAGTCCTTAACTTTCAACCTTAGATCTCAGGGCACAACCTAGCCTTGAGACCGCCCAGGAAGCCGAACTACACCGTTTGCCGAGGGGAGCACTCTATGAAGATCCTCAAAGGCTTGCAGATGCGCCGCCGCGAGTCCAAGGAGCAAGTGGTGACCCAGGACGGCCTGTCAAAACCTGCTACAAGCAGATAGCCTACTACTACCGTACTATTACGGCAACTACTTCTGTACTACTCTTCCGGGACGGGTGGTCTCGAGGATCGCACTATTCACCACATCGGAACATGTTCCACAAAAGACAGTCCTAGAGGGTGATGGTGATGATGATGCTGATGACCGTTATTGATAGTAGTACTCGTATGAACAGTATCGTCGACCTCCCAGTTGTTTCAGTCTCGTGCATCCGGCTGGAGGAGTCTTCTTCTGGAGTTTCCTCCATAACTTAGCCTTTGCATTAGGAACTCCTGCCTGGTGGGTTTACCCATAGGCCTTAAAGTAGTTCCTTTTGGGGGTTCATATATAGATATATAGAATCCTATAAAGCAACCCCCAAAAGGAACTACTATGGGGCCTGTGGGTAGGGCTCCAGGCTTTTACGGCGAGCAGGGGTGTAGTTCTAAGTCAAACCCTAAACCCTAAACCCTAAACCCTAAACCCTAAACCCTAAACATTATGGTTCGTATACCATCCGAGGCCCTGGGGTCCGAAGGCCAAATCCCTAAGCCAAGGACCCTACAACCAAGAGCCCTATGTCCTGTCAGTTGTAGTAGTAGTCGTAGTCGTAGTCGTAGTCGTAGTCGTAGTAGTTGCAGTAGTAGGAGTAGTCGTAGCAGCAGTAGCAGCAGTAGTAGTTGTTGTGGTCGTTGTAGCATGGCCCATTACAATTTCTCAGTCCAGCTCACGTTCCTTTGGGCAGGATCCTCAGTCTCAACTTGTGTGCGTGTGCGTGCGTGCGTGCGTGTGTGTGTGTGTGTGTGTGTCTATGAGGCTTCCGGTTTAGGGTGATCGTTGTAGCAGTTCAGTGTTTTTAGGCTTGGGGTTGAGGAGTTTAGGGACACTAAACCCTCAATCCGAAACTAAACCCTGTGTAGGTGCTCTGGTCGCTTCACGTTTTAAGCGCCGGGACACTGAACGAGGGCACTGTGATGTTGATCCTGCAGTTTGTGGACCCAACGCTGGCTCCTGCAGACACGTGCTATGGATCCTCGGCCCAACAGAACCCCTTTCAAGCTCTAAAAGGCTCTTCAAAAAAGAAAAAGGAACTCAAACGATGAGATACCTGGAGTACCGACAGCTCTATGGTACTAACAACTAGCAGAACCAGCAGTGCCGGTTTTATGAAAGTAGGTTCCAACTTCCCTCAGCTCCGGCGTACATCACAATGCTTGTTACAGCCGTATCTCTATCACACAACCCTAAACCCTAAACCCTAAACCCTAAACCCTAAACCCTAAACCATACTATCCTCAAACATCCTCAGACTCAAGGTCAACGCTTTATGTGCTGCAGTTTCACGCAGTACACTAAACCCTCAACCCTACTCTAAAACCCAAGCCCTAAACCCTAAA